GATCAGGATAGGTGTTGCACTAATAATAATGGATATTATAATCTGAAATCCACATGGTATATTTATTATATAAATATATTCTGAAAAATTGTACTAGCATCAATTGGTTAATATCACTTTTGTTATGAAAAAAAAATCTGATATCATGTACGATAAGAAACCAAATCTGGGAAAAGTCAAGTAGAAAATGTATTCATTAAAGGTGATCAAACATTGCCAGGAAAAATAATATTCTGTCAAACTAACTTTTAGTTATCACTGATTTTTTTTATTTTCAAAACCATAATCATTTTTATGCTTGGATCAAGACATTTCCTAAAATAAGCTGACATAAGACCAAATTATGGACAGTGAGCATACATTGAAGTGGTAACTGTCAAGCAGTCTGTCTACTTTGAAGATTACCATATAAAATACTGGATTCTACATTTTGTCTCCAAAAATGTATGCCCTATTTTCTAATTAATAACAGCTTTTCTGAATTTTAATAATTTCTTTGTTTCAGAGTAAATTCTAGAATAAAAATTAGATATTTTTGTGATGCTTTTCTTTGTGTGTGTATGTGTGTGTGTGATCTTCATATTACACTTCTAATTATCTTATCTATGATTTTTTGGAACTGCTGAACCTTTATGCAAGAAGATACTCTTTGATTTACTGTTGATACTGTTAGGATTGATGTAATATGCCACTAAATCATTCTCTATATGGATATTTACCAGTTTTCATATTAAGAAATATTATTCTCAAAGCAAGGATGAAAATTTACATATTTTTAATTGTAGTATCTGGAAGTTCTCTAATAAGAACCCCCAGATAACACTGGGGTGAAACCTCAATGATTATATAATGATAATAACTCAGCCTTTTGCTTCCAGTATTATGAAATATATATAAATAATTAAAACAAAATTTATTATAACAACACTAGTATTATATAAATCAATGTATGGGGTTGCTATTTGCACTTTTTCCTAACTTTATTACTTATAGATGTGTACAATAGAGATTGTAACTGAGATGCACTTAAAATGTAGTTTTAAGATTTGCCTCTTAGTCATAACATTTTAGGTCACTAAATTGCTAAAATGAAACTAATCTAATATGTAAAGTTCAAAACTTGTGGGTTTCTGCTTGAAACCCTGAAAATTAAATATCTATAAAGTTGTTTTATTTTGTGTGTATGGAAACATTTTCTAAAACTTTGACATTAAATAAATAAGGTTTTATCATTTATGTCTAATAGCATGCATCTTATATCATGTTTAAATGAGTGGTTCTTGCATAACTATTTTGCATACTCAGTTTTAAAAAATCAGTTTTTTTTAAAAATAATTCTTTTTCAATTTTTTTCTGTGATCTTTGTAAATAAGCAATTGTTAAGTTTTTGTATATTTTAATAAAGTCATTTCCAGCTTTGAAAATAGTAACGACCTTAGCATTTATGTTACTGCTTGCAAGTAAAATGTGTATAAAAGTAATTTAACAATGTGGACATTTTAAATAGTACAAGGGAAAGTCAAAAATTATCTGCACTCATACAAGAAAAAATATTGGGTACAAGACAGTGAACTAACTTTCCTAACAGCAGATCTATCAATGGATATATATAATCACTCCACTTCATATCAGTGGAAAATATGAGACCAAGAAGGTGCAATGAATTGTTTTCCTGGAGGTTAGCATCAACCATACTGATAAAAGGAAATAATGGTTCTCTATGGTGATTAAAAGATAGCAGTTTTGTTTTGGAGGCATTAAAATTTACAAGCTATTTCTTGTCCCAGTAAATAACTGATTGGAGATAATTTTCAAGAGGAGCTGCCAGTCTTACTTTGTTAGACCTATCAAACTTTCTATTAAGACAAAAATAAATAGTTGTGTCATTATCATAAATACTTATTTGGGAACTGATGACATTGAAAAGATCATGTTAAGAAACAATGTAGGTCCAAGGATAGAGCCTTAGGGGATCCTCGCTGATGTGAAATGATCTAGAAGTGTGGCTGTTCAACACAAACTTCATTATATGATTTAAGAATGTCAAATATTCAGCCAGGGAAACCATAACCTATGAACTTGGCAATTAAAGTAAATCCCTCAGTGTTATTTTCTTTCCAACAATCCATCTTCTTTATTACCATACAAATAATAATAATAATAATAATAATAATAATAATAATAATAATTCTCTGAGATTTTCAAATTCAAATGGATCATAGAGCCAATAAGAGAAAATTTGTCAGAAAGTAGATTTCACTCTTCCAGAGAGTAAAATTGAGATTGTGAATAAATGGGAAAATATTTTAATCATTTGAGTGAAGTGAAAAAAAACTTGTGGAATATGAAGGTGACAATAGTGCCCATCATTATTAGATCACTTGAAACCTGAAAAGCCTTGTAAAAGTGAAAGCATTGTAAACATCCTGATGGCTGTTTCAGTTTGAATACTGAGGAAAATGCTAGAGTATTGAGAAGACTTAATATGAATTGATATCCAGTGAATATCCAGGCATCAACAAGTAAAAATAAATCATCATCATCATCATCATCATCATCATTAATAATAAGTAGTAAAAGTAGTAACAACAACCTCAGCTAGGATCAGGATTGGATGAATTAGTATTTTAAAGAAGGTTTGAATGCTTAGCGATCTTCAAGAATATGAGGAATATGCTTAACTCAATTCTCAAAGACAACCACTACTCATTTGGTACAACCATGCAAATACATGAAATAATAATAATTTCAGTGATTCAAATTATCAATTTTGTTTTCCTCTGATAAATAATATAAAGATATGTTTAAATATCTGACATAACAAATTAACAAAATATTCTTCTGTAATAGAATATAAAGGGCAATATAATGTACCTATTATTAGCATGAAAATAATAATTTTAACAAAGAAGCTTCTCTATTGTGAATCATAATTTATACAGACATTGAATAACTAACAATTACTAATTTGGTTAGTCTGTTGCATCAAAGATGGACCACATATTTTTTCTTGTAGCTCAGGCAATACATAACCCCTTAGTATGGACAATTATCCTTTTTTAAGTCACTACAGTTATATTTTCTTATACAGAAAATAGTATATATAAACACTTATGAAAATATTTAATAGAAAGAGTGTTTAAAAAGTTCTATATTTGATGGGGATAATACATTCTCATAGACACTGAGAGAATAATGGAAATTCTTTTTTGGTTCCAGATATCCATAATTGTTTATCTTTATTACTGAATAGAGTTGATCTTTTTAATAATTTCAAGAATGACTAGAATATCAATCATTTTTAGAGTTTGTTACAGGAATATTTTTTGTGTTATCATATAAAGATTAAATATTGTAGCAAAACTCTTATGACATATTTTTGCTGGCGGTAGTAAACAAAGTGAAACAGAATAAAGAAAGAATAACGACAGTTCTTATAAAAATGGAATGCAAATATTTCTTGCTTTGTTTTAATTTTCTGTGAATGTTTATATATTTATCAAATATTAAAAATATAAGAATTAAGCTGAACAGATTCTGAATACATTATTTCTGTATATGCTTGTTTTTTTTGCTTACTTATTAACACCTTACCTTACTACCAAGAGATACTTTAATAATAGTGAACAAAATGCTTTTAGTATTTCTATGGCAAAACTTTCTCCTTGAAAATATTAAAGAAACAAGTTTTGCTGACTTTTCCTATTCCATTCTTACACTATTTCTGTGGTGATGGAAAAATATCTTCTTGAACCATTCAATGACAATAAATAGATCCCAAAGTTAAATTTTTGACTAGATAAAAGTATATTAGGCTGATGCAAAACTTCCCAGCATTTTTCAAATTCCACTTTGGTAGTAATGTTGATAGGTGTCCTTCATGACTTTCATCCATTTATTATGTATTAATAAATCAATTTTATCATCACTAATGAATATCTTGTTCAAAAACTGATGACAATCAGTTACTTCAATTTTTTTCACCAACTTTCAACAAAAACAGTTGAGTGTTGATCTTTGGAAAGTTGAACTCTAATGATCATTTCCACTTTTAGTTTATCAACTCTTGTCACCTTTTGAATCACAGTAAGTATTTGACTAAAGTCTCCTGTTACAACTCTATACCAGGAAGAGTATTCATTCACATATAATATTTCTCAGAATCTGTTTCAAGGCCTCAGGACAATTTTGTGTGACAGTAAACTCATCCTAAATTATCACTAAACAATTTTAGTGCTTCTACTGCTCTATTTTAGAAAAGACATTATTAAAATAAATTCTTAAAATTTTAAGAATCAAATATATTCTTAAAATTTTATCTTATAAAAAGGAATTTAATCACTTTTTAAATTTTTAATGAAGATTTAAATTTCTTCAATAATTTTTAGTAATGGTAATCATGCATTTTAATAATGGAAAAAAAAATAATGGAAATTTCTTATGTGTGATTATTTTATATAACATTTAAGACAATTACTTTCCATTTTGGGAAAAGGTCTTAGATTAAACCAAAACCATAGATTATTATTTTTATGAAAATTCTGTAAAAAATAAACATCTCTGGAATTAAATACAAGATTTGTTACATTTTCAAAATATATTAACAAAAATGTTTCAGTATTGTTTATTCTTCTTTATATAGATTCTAACTGTGATGTAAAAGGTCAATTTCAATGAAAAAATAATTGACTACCTAAGCAATTTAATTATAAAAGCTATCTATAAAATCAATTGCTTAATTGATTCATAAAGATCAGAATAACCAGGCTGTAAATGAATAAAAAAAATTGTCATAATTGAATTATTAAAGTTGAATATGCAAATTAGTTATTCCGATTAATCAAGAACAGCTAAGTCAGTCAAGCTGAATAATAAGTAGTGTAAAAAACACAACTTATGGAAGTAAACAGCAGTTATTTTGACAATATACTTTTACATATGGACACATTAACACACACATACAACCATGTTTAAAGGCATATGTATATAATTTTTAAAACTGATTTGAATTAAAGAGCTGTATGTGAAAGTCTTCAGTGGAAAGGAAAAAAAGGAAGAGAGTGGGGGAGGCTAAAGTGGAAAAGTGAAAGAAAGAGGGGGTTAAGCAAAAGAAGGCAGAGGAAGTGAGGGCTGAAATGAGAGGAGGTGGAGGCTGAAGTGAAAGCAGGTAGGGGCTGAAGTAAATGGAGGCTGGGAGGCTGAAGGGAAAGAAGGAGAGGAGGTAGGATCTAAAAGAAGCAGAGAAAAGAGGGCTGAAATGAAAGGTGGCAGAAAATAGGAGGAGAAGAAAAAGGAGATGGGAAAAAGTGAAAGAATGCTGAGAAGATAAATGAAAGAAGGTGGAGAAAAAGTGGGAAGTAAAAGGAGGGGGAAGTAAAAGAATGCAGAGAAGTATAAAAAAGGCAAAAAAAAAAAAGAAAAGAGAGTGGAAGGGATAGGAAGTAAAAGAAAAGTATCAAATAGGAAAGAATGGAGAAAATAATTTACTGAAGGTGAAAGAAGCAACAGATAGTAAGATATTTGTTGGCACAAGGCCATATGTACAGAGTCACAAGCAAGATAAAAACTAGGTCAATGGTTAACAAAAGGAAAATAGAGAAATAAACAAGGAGACAAAAATGCACATGAGAGATAGGAACTTTGAAGGGCAATAGCAAAAAACATTATAATGAGGAAGAAGTAGAAAGTTGAAGAGAAAGACATTATTTAGTTGACCTAAGTGACTTAAGTACAAGATTTTATTTATTCTTTCAAAAAAACAAAACAAAAAAAAAAGTAAATAAAAATTTAAAAAAGATAAAAATGTCTAATATAAAGGTCAGTGAGTATGACTGGCTAGCTAGTTGCAGACTTTATAAAGGTTGACAGGTGAGGAGGTATGGGGTGGAGCTCTCAGTAGAGAAAGTAATTATCTTCTTTTAAATTAATGGACAAAGTTTGGAGTGGGTCCTGGTTGGGATGGTGTGAAGGTGGAATATAACTAATGGATTATAGAAGGGTAATAAAAAAGATTTTATTGTACCACACCCCAAAGTTATTATCAAATGAGATAAATACCATGAGGATATTTTTAGGGGTCTCCCACAGGCTCAGTTTGATGCTTGCCTACATTCCTTTTCTCCATAGACTGAGTAACTGACTCAATACTGACTTATCTATAAGTTTCATACTTTTAGAAAAGCCATATTTTACTTTCAGTTTTGAATATACTGTATGCATTAATCCTGTGCATTAGTCCTTATAATAGTAATCTCAAAGATCATCACAACTACTGTAGTGAATTCAGTCCTCACTATGTGCCTCATACTTGTGGACTGGTGCCTTACTAAGCTAAGTATCATGAATATATAATAGGTTGATTGATTGATTGATTTGTTTTATGGCTTATCAATCTTTTGCAGGTTATTTAAAGCCAGAAATTTTTTTAGATTATAATAATTTTTGAAGATAATAGTGATTTAATGATACAAGTCCTACTAGTTAATGCAAAGCTAGAGGAAGAAGAGGTGAATTCATACCTTTCTCAGGGATATTTGTGTGTAGGTGAATATAATGAACACAAATGGAATTAGAACTTGGCTCTTCGATTTTCAATTCTGAGCTGTTAGCCATTATGCCAACCGCACATCCAAGTTTACAGCACCTGGTATGACCATTGCTTAACTTCAGTGATTGTACAAGAACTGGTGTTTCAACCTGATATGATTGTAAGCCAATATATAACAAGGATGTGGAAATATTCTTGGCCAAACCAATAAAGAACTTTAAAAAAATTTGGTACTTGGTCATTTGATCAGTTTTATGGGAACTTTTTCAGCATTCCTTTGTATATTAGTATCTGCAGGAATCTGGCATTTAAACACTAGATATTGTGAAGTATTGCTAGTGTGTCTTTGGTTAGTAATAATGGTGTTTAAGCTTCTAATCTCCATACCCCAGTCTGAAAGCATACCTGGTGCCTGATGAAGGTACTGATTGTCATTTTTCTAGCATAGTTGCAATGAAGTTATATATTCATATTAAGTTCATACCTGTATTTTACTCTCTCAAGAAATATATATTTTGAAAGAAATATTTGAATTTACAAAGATCTATAAAAATAGTTTATCATCTCCTTAAAATTAAGAAATCCTTTATCTAAGAAAAAACAATAAGTTCAATTTATACAAATAAATTTCTCTAAGTAGTTTCCATCCCCCACATCTGTTTGATTTACATGTTACCAGGATGTTTTTTACTTTGATGTGCTCATGAATATGCATATATATGCATACATACTTACTAACTAGATATGTTGGAATCTATATACAGAGAGACTAAGAATGGATTTTAAAAGTGATGTAATGGAATAACCTGTCACCCCCATGAGTGACTATACTATAGGTAGTAACTGCCTATAAGTATCTGTAAGTCAACAGACTACAGAGACAAGCTGTGACCTGTTCCAGCTAAACAGTCAAACTCTCTCTGCATTCGGGCAGAGAGGAACCCAGATGAGGCTCCGCTGAAGGGTAGAGTCTCGTTTGGGGAGGTAGACTGCCCCATAACCCGTTTTTGTGGGTTCAAAAGGGAATATTTTTGTCCAAGCCTACAGGCTCGAAGAACCCATGTTAAACCAACCTTGTGCCACATGCAGCCCTCGTGGGAGGGTAGCTAAATATACTAGCTGGGATCTGTTCCAGCTAGATGGTCTAACTCTCTGCCTTTGGGCAGAGAGGAACTTGGACAAGGCTCTGCCAAAGGGCAGAGTCTCGTTAGGGGAGATTGACCAACCCGTTCCCGTTTATGCGGGTTCTATGGGCATTTTTTGGCTGAGCCTATGGGCTCGGAAGACCCACTTAAAACTCGGCCTTGTACCACATCTACCCTCATGGGTGGGGGCTAGTAAATATTGACTAGCCGGGATCTGTTGAGTACAACTCAGACTTATGCAAGAACTACCGACCTTCCAATAGTAGCACTCACTACTGAATTGACTTGTGACAACCTGTTACCTTTATTCTTATTGTACTGGTATTTTACAATAAACCTTTACTTATTTTATCCACCTTGTTTTTCATGTATATGTTCCTATTAGCATAGAATATAACAAAAAGATAGATAGATAGATAGATAGATAGATAGATAGATAGATAGATAGGATTAATATGAATATAAAATTTTTCACTTAGCTGATTGATGTTATATTCATCATCCTGACTCTAGAGTTCCATTGATGAAACTATTTTGCAAACATTCAGCTCACTTTTCAGGTGGTATATATATATATATATATATATATATATATATATATATATATATATATATATATATATCATGTGTGTGCACATGTCTATATACAGGTTTTAATAAGTACAACAGGTCTTTTCAATCATTTGATTACCCCTTTGATATATATACAATAGTGGGGCACTAAAAGACTAAGTGTAAGACTTCATTTTTATCACCAAGTTAGCAATCTTGCCACAAAAAATCATATTTTTTGGCAAGATTTCAGAAACTATAAAGACTTGGATCATGAAATATTGCAGAAGGTTACTTCCTTGACTACACTACTTGAATACCAAAAATCAATACCAGACTTGTAGTAACTTTGAGTTATTACAAATATAAAAGTTTAAAGAAACAACTGATTAGCCAAATAATAAAAGTGTTTTATTGTTTGCTTACTACATTGTGCATGCATTCTTCATAAAAGTGAGTCACAACATTTCAATCCACAATCAACCATAGATTCCCACCCAGTAAGAAAGATGCTATGTCATATCATTTGAGAAAATTTTCAGCTTGAATCCAGTAGGAATTTACTTTTTGATTACACACACAATTAAATATACACTTATTCTTTCACTTTTTTGCATTTCAAAAGTTTTATTCAATTATTTTAATAATGTGTGACTTAAAACAAGAAACTTAATCCTAGAAAGAAAAAAATTTATATAAAAAATATTTTGTATGCTCATTACATATATATCCTTTATACTTTTGATGTTGAATCACATTTTTCCTTGCAGCATTTAAGTTCTCTAAAAGTTGTTTACATATTTTCTTTGTTTAACTTTTTATGTCTCTCACATTCCTTCAAGAGTTTGTGTGGTTTCATCAAAAGTTATTTTGTTGATAAATGGTGTGTAATCATTTTTATATTGCCTCATTTTGTGACTATATTTAGATTAAATTTATGATTCACTTTTGTGAATCACATTGTTACAGAAATTTAATTTAATTTCTCCAAAATAAATTTCAACTTTCAGTGATTTCTTCTTTAACAACTCATTTTCCTGTATTAGGCCCTTTTTGTCTCTTTTTATAAAAATCTATTTTTTTTAATAATTTCACACCAAGCATGGTAGAAATGTCACTATAGGGGATTACAGAGAGTAAAAGTGAAAGAGAAGACTGAGAATAGGGAGTATTGAGGAAAGGACAGAAGATAAACAGGATTCAAGAAGACACAAGATGGCAATTGGTGTTGAATTTAAATTTTTGAAGATTGTAGTTATCAGGGAAGCAAATAAATGGAAGGAAGTTCCACAGATGGGAAGTGTGAGAAAAGAAACTGTTAGAATAGAAGTGGCAGTTGCATTTAGCTATTTCAACAGTAAAAGGGTGGGACCTAGATACCTATCTAGTAGCAAGTTTAAATTCATGTAATTGGGGCACCAGGGAAAAAAGCATATCAGAGCAGTTTCCATGAAAATATTTGTAGAAGAGACAGAGGGAAGTCACATCATGTTGGTGAGAAAGTAACTGAAGTTAATATACCTGGTCAGGATCAATTACATTACATATCCTTCTTTGTCAAGAATCTTGAAATGTACAACAGGAGCACCAGAACAAATATAGCAACAGTATTCAATGCACAGGTGAATGGTAGATTTGTAAATGTACAAGATGGATTCAGAAGAGAAAAATTTTCTGGCACAACACATTAACCCAAATTTCCTTGTAGCAGATGCAGCTATTGATTTGATGTAGTCACTCCACTTCAAGTTAGGGGAAAATGTGAGGCCAAGAAGGTACAGTGTGTTGCTCTCCTGGAGTCTAGCATCAGCCATGCTGATGGCAATCAAAAAAGGTTCTCTATGGTGATTAGATGAAAGTTTTGTTTTGGAGGCATTAAAATTTTCAAGTCATTTCTTGCCCTAGTTTACAATTGAGCTGAAAATTGGTCAAAAGTTTTAACAGCTGTTTGACATTGACCAGTTTAGTCCAAATCCTCTTATCCACTTCATAATTATTTGTAATAGAGTTAGACAATAATATTAAAAAAATAATCCAAACAAAAATATTAATTTAGTACTAATATGCCATGAACAAATGAACATCAGTAATCTACTGGGAATTTCTTCTGTTCAATTATTTTTGACAAATGTTTAGTTATCCAAGTAATTTTGTCAAGTTTTATTAGAAATTTTACTCTATTCTTCTTTGTTGAACTTCTCTAATTCTGATATGCTTTGAGATTTCTTTTCATGATGCTCATTTTTAATTTGCTCAACAAATTTCCAATAGGAATTAGATTGGGGGGTTTCAAAGGCCATTACAAAAAATTGGTCTTTTCTTTTTCCATTCATTTAGTTACCAATTTTGACTTATGAACATTATCATGTTCGAATATTCAGTTTCTACTCATGCAGAAATTCCAAGCCAAACTTTTCAAAGTACTTCTAAGAATATCAGATACTTTAATTTGGTTCTTTCAATCAGCACAAGCTGACCAACTCCATAAAATACTGAACCTTAATGCTTTACTGTTGGATAAATAACTTTCATTCTTTTTCCACTATATATATTGCTTGACTGAATGTCTGAAAAACTTTCAAATTTGTCTCATCAGATATATTTTATCTTTGTTTAGATGATCTTTTTAACAAAATTTAATCTAGTTTTAATGTGCATTAAAGATTTCTTCCTTGTTCTATGGCCTTTCAGTCCTGCACAGTGTAAATATTCATTACCATATTCTAACATTCATGCTGTATAATTATTGCTAACATCTTGTGTTATTCATGGATCTTTACTTATGTCACTCATGAGTCTTTGTAAAATTCTATCCTGAGCAACATTCAGCTTCTTGGAAATGTTGTCATATCCCTTTTCTGTCTTGTGCTTATTAATAATTGATAGCTTCAACTTGATACTGAGTTCTTTTGTATTTGCCATAGTGGAACAAGTTCAAGACAACTACTGTATGAATAATATGATGCATTAAATAAGAGACACAATGATACAATGTTGCATGTTAGCAAAAGTATCAATCAATTCAGTTAGTTGAGTGCATCAAATAATTCAGTGAAGATGTAAAATCTTATATTGAAAACAGTCACCTCGGGAAAGGAAAGTGTGATATTTCATTATCAGCCTTAATAAATGATCTCTACACAAACACATAATTGCAGATGTTATTGTAGGGGTAAGGTTATAGGAAATAAGACCTATTTTCAACACAATTACATACCCACATACATACCATATTAAAATATGTCCAAACTTCATTTTCTACCCAATAACAGACAAAATTTTCAAACATGCCAAAAAGATTCTCCACACACATTATTTAAGTTAAAGTATCTATTGGTTAGAAATGAACATCACCATGTGAAATATTTGACCAATCAGAGAAAACTAAAACCCTATTTGGCTCAAGCCTACTTTTGTGGAAAACTTTTTGTAAAACCCACAGATTTCAACTTTCAGAATAGTGATGAAACTGTTTTCAATCTGTTCAAACACAAACATGGCTACATATCATTCCTCCCACCCCAGCATACACTGAAAAAACTTTTGTTGGCAACTTCAAATGAATCAGCTCCAACAACAAAAGCAAGGGTGGTCAATAAATCTTCACTGATGATCAAAGCCTTTTCTCACCCACAGCTTTTACAGTAGACCAATTAGTAAAAGTCAAAGCACAGATTTTTCCATGGACCAACTACCCAAAGACTCATTAACATTAACTCATCTAAAGATTATTTTTTTAACTCGTTTTTGACTCTTTTGAATTAATATATGTTAACATCTTGTACTTTTGTACCAGGCAGAGCCAGTGTATACTAATCCTGAACCACAAGACCTGGGGAGCAAGCCTGATTGAGGGCTCCAAGCAGTGCTTTGGGATCTTCACTATCTTATCAACATTTGCTTTTTTCCTACATTTATATACATTACAAATTAAACTAAGCACAACTGACCATTAAAGGATGGAAAACATTTGCAGATTTTGACATTTTGGGGTCATTTTTTGCCCAAATCTGTGAATTTGTTTTCCTCATGCTAAGTTTCGAAAAGACACTATATAAAATACACTATTTTTTATCCATAATGTTGAATGTGTTAAAATTATTCAACTTTTTTTAACAAGAAAAATCTCAAGTTTATGTTAAAAATTTGCTACATGATATGTCTTTAATTTGTATTAGATACATTGTGATTATTTTCAATTTTTCTACTTGAATTATTCACCTATATTGCTTATGATCAATTATTGTATATAATTAGGTTACAATAAAATTTGTATTTTATATGAATACTACCTTATGGAAATTGAGATGTAGAAGAGTGGGGTGTCCTGTATCATAGATTCTGGAGGGAGGAGTATCATAGATTCTGGTGTTCATTTCAAAATGTAAAGAATCAGATAGGAGAGTAAGTATGTTCACTGAGTAGCAATAACAATTCTAAAATTAGATACATGACTTAGAATATTATTGTTTGAAATGGCTGAGGAAGACTGACAAGTTCTTGTTAGAAGATGAGAAGTGTTTTATGAGACAAGAGTAGATCAAAGTTCATGTGAAATGATTTTAAGCATTTTTTTAAAATTTGCCCTTATGATGCAGACAGGACATGAAAATTAAATCATCATTCTGAACAGCATAGTTTTAATTTAGACAATGACATTCTCTTCTTTTTTCACAACTATACATTAAGCAAGATGGTCCTGAGGGCTGTTACTTGAAAGATGCAGGTGTCCCTATCATTGATTAAAAATTCTTCTTGATGGAAAAAACAAAATTTAATAATCTTCAAATGACCAAAAAGGGACTGAACATAATTCTTTTTTTTATTTGGTTACTGTTCAGAAAGAAAAAAAACTCCCAGTAATGTTTTCACATTTAAAATGATTTATATCAGTCATTCATGATGCTTTTTCAAATATATATGTTGCTACTATAGTTTCCATAGCAAATAGAGTTTTGGGGATAGAGCTGCAAGTCTTATGCCCAATTGGTTTTGAATTTAGTGTTATCCTTATCTTTAACCAAGGCTAGAAAGCCCAATCTACTCTTCTATTTAACCCATAGCTGAGGGAAGAAATGGATTCATACCAAGTATATTTGTGCAAAAATGAGCATGATGACCTGGACTGGAATTTGAACTCAACATACTGATCCCACTTTCTGTGCTGATAACCACTACACATGCATCCATTATTACATAATCCTTTATTACATAAATATATTTGGTGTTTTAT